CTTTTTGGTAGCTGCTCAAACAAATCTACTACTGCAGCTTCAATATATCCCAATACTTTCGGGAAGATGACCATACCATACATACCAGAGCAAAGAGATCGAATCGTACTTTATCATTTGGATGACTCTGAATAATTTCTTTAATGTTGGTCCAAGCAATGCCTTCGCTTTTGCCCTTTTGTTTTGTACGGGATACCACCCATTCCTCTCGTACTCTGGAAATCTTTGCTAATTTAACTCGAAAAGGTTGAGTTTTAATTGACCTTGAATAAATTCGATTTTCCAAAGCCCCTTCTATATGTAGCAAAGTTGTGTACTCTTCAATAGTAGGAACCAAGTCCTCCTTATTGAAGTGAAGTAATTGTACCCTGGATTCCATAATTGAATTAGGGCTCTAAGTAAGTCATCATCAACTTCTACATAGAGCAAATATGGGATGTCCCCGTAAGTCTGATAAAACTGCAACTTTTTGTTTGAGTCCCAAATCTCCCAAATGCCTCGAAAATCTTGTATATCATTTCTTTTTAGCGAAACTGGAGCATAACTGACTAACTCAGATACATAGTCATCCTGTAGATTGTCTCCCCCTTGTCTTTGTAAGTCCTCAGCCCACTGTCCTACTTCTGAGTTTAGAACTATTTGATTTGAACACTTTTTATCCATGGATGAAGGTTTTCCAATGAGACAATTAACACGAGGATCAATGCCTTTTATCCTATATGATGTTATCCAAACAGAAGAAAAAACACACACAAAAAGAAATGAATTATTTACATAATAAAGGAAAAATAATTTAATAATGTCTACCTAAATATCTTTATTTAAACATGCTTTCTTCATACTTTAAATAATTTAAATTCACATACAATTTATTCAGTAAGAAAATAAATGAAAAAATTAAAAGGAAAAGTTAGAATTCATTTCTCCTGTGTGTACACCTATTTTGGACAAAATTTCGGCATGGCTTCAGATCAGAAGAGTTTCTAGGGTTTATTATATGCAGGGTTTTAGATCTAAGAATAAAGGTACCCGAATTGTCCTTGTTAGTGCCCCCTTGGGCTGTTAACCCTCAATCCTAGTCCATCACAGACTAAAGTGGATCGAGTTCAATTCGAGGGGATACACTTCTCTATGCCTGACACGGAGAATAAATTCCCACTAAGACATAGAGCATATAAACCCCGAAAGTTACTTGCTAGGTCTGACACGGAGAATAAATTCTCACGAAGACGTCGCTTTCACTCCCACTTAAAAGGGACAAGCTTGATTAAAAAGCTTATGTTATGCAATGCATGTGTTTGTGTGAGGAGAAATGTTCAAACCTCTGACAGACAATAAATAATGAAATTTAATACTTGAAAAATAAAATAAAACATTAAAAATAATATAAATATTATGAAAATAATATATAATTTTATATGAATTTTAAATTTCTAATTAATAGAGACAATTTATAATTGATTTTAAAAGCTTGATCAGTCCCCAACAGAGTCGCCTAGCTGTCGTAATCGATTTTTGCCCGGGTACGAAATTTTTAACTTGGTGGGAAAAATAAAACGAATAAATAAATGATTTTGATTTTAAAAAAATATTTTGGGAGTCGCCATTGATCTTTTGGGGTTAGGTAGGTCAAATACCTGGAAAAATAATCTTTTAAAATAGTTTTGAATAAAACATAATTTAAAAGATAAAATTGATCTGCGTATAACCAAAAATTTTAGTAAAACAGGATTCGTGGTCGATTACGTTTAGAGAAGGATTAGCACCCCTATAATGCCCAAAATTGGTACTTTATTAATTATAAATTGTCTATATTATTGGAAATTTAAAATTTCAAAGATACATTTAATTTATATTCTTATTATTTCAAATTTATTAGTATCTTTAATAAAATCTATTAATTTATAAATAAAATATTTATTTATTAAGAAATATCAGAAAAAGACTTCTAGGTGCCTTAAGACAGCTCTTTTCTTCGATATTAAATAAATATTAATAAAAAATTAATATATATTTTATAGAGTAAAAAAAATCAGAAAATGGACTTATAGGTGCTTTAAGACGGTCATTTTCTTTAATATTAAATTAAAACATGCTTATAATAAAAAGTATTCTATATTAAATTTATAAATAAGATTTTGAATAAATAATATATATATATATATGATTAAGTAATAAAAAATGATAAATAACTAAAATATAAAAGAAATTAAAATTATAGAATTAAATCACAAGATATATAAAACTTATGGTCAAAATTATATAAAATTTAATTATTAAATTATAGAATATAAATAATAATGGCCATAATTATAAATATTATGTAGTATATACATTAAAAATGTAATTTAACCCTAAAAAATTAATACGGGACTAAAATAAATTTTAATAAAGTTTAAAGGATTAATTATAATATGTACCTAAATTACTAGTCAGGATTAAAATAAATATTATTGAAAGAGTAAGGACAATACATATTTTACCTTAATTATTTATATAAATATTCGATCAGGACTAAATTATAAGAAAATAAAATTAAAGGACTAAATCACGACATATATGAAATGATTTTAGTGACTAAAATGAAATGTTACAAAACTAAGATGGCTGCAGAAAGAGTTTGTCCATACGTGTAAATTACGCATATACACCTTCCCAAAACGACGTCGTTTGGGAAGGGATATATATTTTCCCAAACGGCTGGCCCGAAGGGCCAACATCCTCATTTCTTCTCTTCTTCTTCTCTCTAAAAAATGAGAGAAGAAGAGCTCTCTCCCTTCTCTCTTAATTTCCCTCACTGGAGGGAAACGATCTCTGGTCGGCCACCGCCAAATCCACCGCCGACCACCACATCGGTGGCCGGAAATTACAAAACCCACCCCAAATTAAAGCCTGGTTTCCCCTAAAGCTAAATCCGGAGGTTTTTTAGCCTAAAATACTACTGAAATGCGTAGATCTAATTTTTTTACCTTCGACCTTTGGCTTTCCAACGGCGCAAGGAGTCTCTGATGACCGCTGTTCCCTCGGTAAGTTTCTCTTCTCTCTTTTCCTTGTTGTTTTGGTGATTTATGGTTGCTGGATTGCTTTTTTTTCTTTTCTGTGGCTGTTGGATCCCTCCTTGTTTGCAGGTGGTCGATGGCTTTTATAGCCATCGACGGTGTGGCTCTCGGACCAGTTAATAAGGTGGTTGTTTAGTGAGTCACCAGACTTCCAGTGGTGACTCACTGTAGAGCGACGTGTGCGGCTGGAAGGGCTCTTCTGGAAGCCTTTGGTGGACGTCGTGGCAGCAGCATCGGCAACGTGGAGCGGCTGGAAGCAGAGGCGCCGCCGCGTGGTCCTAGGGTATTATACCCTAGGGTTTGCATCTGGAACCATCTGGGCCGATGGATCTAACCTAGATCCAACGGCTGGCAAGGAGAGCGGCGGCTGGGATGATACAAACCCTAATTAATTTAGGGTTTCCATTGGGCTCCCGATTTGGGTTTGATTGTAAGTGGGCCTCGGGTATTGGGCCTGTCTAGAATAGTAAATAATTTTTTTAAATAATAATAATAAAATAATAATAATAATAAAATATAAATAATATTCAAATGAAAAAAACGAGTATCTTCAGTTATGTTGTATGAAATTATTTTATCTATCTTGTTATTCGGGATTCTGAATATTTAAAATTACCGTATATTTTAGTCTACTTTTATTTTCTTTAAAATTTATAAATTCACCTCTTAATATAAAATCATGTGTATGTCCTTACTTATACGTGAATAAAGGAATTCCTCCTCTTCTTAGCCCACAATCAAAGAGAAATATCAGAGAGAGAGATTGAAAATTGAATTAAATAAAAAAGCATTACTATAAATTAAGATTGAACAGAGATGAGTTCGTGTTCTATAATCAACCACTTCATGACTAGAATGGAAGCCTTTATCAAACCAAGTGCGAACTCTACTATGATGGTTACGCACAAGCAACACGGGCAGATTCAAGTCAACACCAACCTGCCATCATCATCACAACCAAAATAGAAACAACCCCATCAATTCGATTTTGCATTGAAGAATTCATCAAATCAGCAAGAAAAACAATCTGAAAATAAGAGAAAGACTAACCCTACAATCCAGACGATGATGCCGACGATGGAGATGAGGAGGGATAGAAAAGCAAAGGGTAAACCCAACAGGAATCCTAAGGGCCTGCATTCACAATCATCGCCACAGCAGCAACACGTATTTGTTTCTTCTTCCGAATACTCAAACTATGTTCTTTGGTTTTCTCGATTGCTTCTGATATAACAATGTTTGATGAAGTAGAGCAAGAAATGAGACAAGCTAGGCTATACAAATTAATAGGATAAATCATTAAATAAAATCGGTACGTGGCGTTTACATTAGGGCAATCCACAATTATTGAAAGGGGAGCGATGACCAATTAACCAATACCAAACCTCCACCTGATTTGCTTACAGTACTTTATATGGTCCCTTGATTATCCCTGGTTTCGGTTTCTTCTAGGGTCACGCTATTATCTGGGTTTTTATCGCTATTATATAAAGGGCGATGCCAAATTTGCCAGTAACATGTTAAATTGTCAACATAATTGAAACACTTATTAGTATTTATAAGAATTTGATTAGAATTAGATGTGACACAAATTAATTAATATATAATTGTGAAAAAGTAAGAAATCTGGTTTGATTAGAAATAATTTTTTTATGTAGAAAATTTAATATATAATTTTTTTATAATTGAATATCTATCCTTATAAATAAATATTAAGTCAGAACTTTGAATATCAATCCCTATAATTGAATATCTTACCAAAATATTTTTGTATTTTTCTTCTTTCATATTTTTCCGGAAAAGATTTTTCACATAAAATTTTAATGTCTATTTTATTGGGCGGTGGGATAATTAAGTCGGAAATGACTAGGCGGCTTGCCCCAAGTAGTTCGTGGCTGCTGTAAAATTGCTTTCAAACAAAACACGATGGAGGGCTTGATCCACCTTCCTCAGTGTGGGCTGGACGGCCTCCCATGATTATCTTCAATAAAGCAAAGACGTAAGGAAAACATTCCACCATCATGTGGATACTGCTCAAGGATTGAAATTGACTTTCATGCAGCAGTTTTAAATCTCAGATACATGTTTCTGAAATTACTAATCAACCTGTTCTGGTGCAACTGAGTGAAAATTACTTGTATTCAAGCATTCAAGGACCATGGTGACTGTGGGACAAAACCTGAAATAGCTTTAGGAAGATGAAACATTATAAACCACATCATTCCCCACCCAACTGCAGGCAGTATCTTTTGACATCCCTCTAACCTTCATCATCTCCCTCAACTCACTCACACCATCCCATTTTCCAGCAGCTGCCAGAGTATTTGACAATGCGACAAATGCCCCTGGCCTGCTTTCAGCGTTTAACTTACAAAGTTCGTTGGCAGCTAAGCTAGCCATTTGTACATCGCCATACAGCCTGCAAGAACTGAGCAAAGCTGCCCACACATCGGAACTGGGCTTCTGAGTCATCCCCATTACAAGTTCCCATGCTAGATCTAAACGCCCTGCACGTCCCAGAAGGTCAACCATGCAAGCATAGTGCTCCATCTTCGGTTTTATTGAATAATCTCTCTCCATACTCTCAAAGATTTCACGGCCTTTGGCAAGCAAGCCGGCATGTCCACAAGCAGAGAGAGCGCTAAGGAATGTAACATCATTTGGTTCGACACAACATTCTTGCATCACATAGAACAGCTCGAGCGCTTCATTGGAGTTCCCATTCTTCCCATATCCATCAATCATGGAGGTCCATGTGAAAACATTCTTCTCCGGCATATAGTCAAAAACTCTTCTGGCATCCTCAATTCTTCCACATTTTGCATGCATATCAACAAGAGCACTCGCAATCTTTATGTCCACAAAGAACTCGGTCTTCATTATTTGACCTTGAACTTGTTGACCTATCTCAACTGCTGATAAAACAGAACAAACCCCAATTACACTCGCAAAAGTTGAAATATTAGGCCTGAAACTCAACCGTTGCATATCAACAAAAATCTCAATTCCTTTCTTAGCAGATTCAACCGATTTACTGTAACCTTCGATCATTGCATTGAAAACTACCACATCTTTTTCAATTGTTTCGTTAAACACATTTTCAGCCTCCTCCACTGATCCATTGTTCATGTATCCAGTGATCAACGCCGTTGAGCAAACCACATTATTTTCCGACATCATATCAAAAACAGTCCTCGCATATTGAAACTTTCCAATTTTCACATACGAGTGAAGCAGCGCTGTGTAAAGCACTTCATCAGGCTCCACATCTAATTTCACCATCTGGGCATGGGCCATCTTTCCTAAAAACCGCGGTAACATCACCCTACTACTCCCACAAGCAGAAGCAGAAGCAGAAGCCTTTAAAATCATCGAAAATGTGAATCCATCAGGCTTTTCACCTGAATAAACCATCCTACGAACCAAACTAAGTGACTCCTGAACTTTCCCGTGTTTCAGGTACCCGCCAATTAAATAATTGTAAGCGGACAAAGTATGCAGCGGCAATTCATCGAACATTTGGCTGGCATATTTAAGGCACCCGGTTTTTAGATACAATATAAGGAGTTTGATAGAAATATTGGTATTAGGAGAAAACCCAGATTTTATAATGTGGGCATGTATCTTTTGGCCATGAAAAGGGGTATCTGAGTTAATGAAATGTTGAATAGCAATGGAAAGAGTTGTGGAGTTTGGGTTAGAGAGAGAGCTTTGGTCGTTTGCCGACAAGGTAGTATTAGGCCGGATCAGGAAGGTTGGATAGTTGGGTGCTGAAAAAAAGGACGATTTGATTAAGGGAAATCTACAAATTTTCATTTCCCAGTTTGATCATTATTTAGAGCATTAACTGGTTCATAAATTTATCAAGCAGGCGCCCTTTAAATGGTTTTGCTTTTCTATAATTTCTTTCTTTCAGGTCCAACCCAACCAAGTATTGATTGCTAGGCCTATTTCAATCAACGCTTTCACATCTTATTTGGGCCGATGCTTTGGAAGAAGAACCCATGACAATGGCTAAATTACTCCCTTTATTATTATAGGAACTATAAGTACCATAAATCCACAAATCACATTTGGTTCAGCTAACTCTATGCTATGAGAGATTGTCCTGAAACAAACTCTATCCTCTCACTAGCAGCGGTTGATAGACGAGTCCAAGAGGTCAACAAAGCTCCTGTAAGTCATGGCTTGAATATGCTTTGCAGGTTTTAGATTTAATAAATTTACGTTCCTCATTACACTCCTATGAAACGTTTGAAATCGAAGGAACACCTTGGTACATGAGAATAACATTTAACCGGCTTTCTTGATCGTCAACAGCGCTCATCTATTATATCAGGAATTCTCATCTGCACTTGCTTATTTTAGGCCTGCCTTGACTAAGAATAATCATCGTTGGACGACACCGTCTGTAGGAGTTGTTAAAATTAACTTTGATGGAGCTTTGTGACGAATACAAGACATGGAACAGTTGGGTTTGTGGCTCGTGATCATATTAGCCAAGTGATGGCTTGTCATGCCCGTCCAATAAGAGATATGCAGGATGCAAATTTTGTTGAAGTCTACGCTTTTACGGAAGCTATTATGCTGGCGGTTGAAAAAGATTGGAGTGAAGTGACATTAGAAGGAAATGCATCGAACATCATAAATAAGCTGACCTCTCCGAAAGATTTCTCTCTCGTGGGGTTCCATCTCCGCGAAGCGATGACTATATTTCTAGCTTGCAACAAGCATATCAAAGTCCGATTACTTCAACGAGAAGTAAATGGCACAGCTCATGCTTTGACACAATGGTCTCTAAACTTAGACTCGTTACTGGTTTGTGAATTTGAATGTTGGGACTATATTTTAAACATTATACTCCATGAGGTCATTTTTAATTAATAATACATTATTCCTATGTTAAAAAAATATATATCAGGAATAAATAAAAGAAGTTGAATCTGTGTCTCTGCTTGTATAAAAATTTTGAACAATACAAATTATCCTTAATAATTGATAATTCAAAATTATATTTAAAACTGATTTTTTCATTTTATCTGGATTTTGGTGGTTAACATTCTCATACAAGATTTTAATATTTAGAATTACATATATTTAATAAATAAAATGGAATAAAATTTTGGAAATGAAATACTTTTATAAAACATTTCAGCATAACTAAAACAACATATATACGAAAGTATGTATTCAAGAAATGCAAATTCTTGGGGTATGTTAATGGTGTAAAGGTGTATCGCTTGTGGGATCCCACTGCCCGCAAAGCGATCATCAACAAGGATGTTATCTTTGTAGAAGATAAACTACAAAGAAAAGAAGACGATGATAGTGCTGAAAAGTCAGAGACTACACAGATACATGTGGAAAAGGAGTTTGAACAAGGAGATTCTTCTAAAGCAGAACCAACACATGATGAACAAGAACCAAACAGTTTTGAAGCTCCAACAACACGTCAATCAGATTGTGTGAGAAGACGTCCCAATTGGCACTCATATTATGTTATAGAAGGAAATATTGCATACTGCCTTTTAACAAAGGACGGTGAGCCATCAATATACCAGGAGGCAATAAACAACTCAGATGCTTTACTGTGGATGATGGTGATGCAAGAAGAAATTGAAGCCCTTCATAAAAATAATACATGGGACCTTGTGCCACTACCACAAGGAAGGAAGCCAATTGGTAACAAATGGGTCTTCAAAATCAAGCGAGATGGTGACGATCAAGTTGAGAGGTATCATGCAAGACTGGTGGTCAAAGGATATGCTCAAAAAGAAGGTATTGATTTCAATGAAATATTTTCTCTTGTGGTTCGACTAACAACAATTCGAGTAGTTTTGGCAATGTGTGCTACATTGAATTTACATCTAGAGCAACTAGATGTTAAAACACTTTTCTTCATGGAAATCTTGAAGAAGATATTTATATGCTCCAGCCTGAAGGTTTTGAAGAAGATGAAAAGAAGAACTTGGTTTATAGGTTGAACAAATCTCTGTACGGTCTAAAGCATGCGTCGAGGTGTTGGTATAAAAGATTTGATTCCTTCATTATGTGCCTTGGATACAACATACTTAATGCAACCCTTGTGCTTATTTCAAGAGGTTTGGTGATAACGATTTTTTATATTGTTGTTGTACGTGGATGACATGTTAGTTGTAGGACCCAACAAAGATTATATTGAAGAATTGAAGGCACAACTGGCTAGGGAATTTGAAATGAAGGACTTGGGATCAGCAAACAAGATTCTAGGGATGCAAATTCACCTAGACAGAAGTAATATGAAGATTTGGCTTTCACAAAAGAATTACTTGAAGAAGATATTGTCAAGATTCAACATGTAAGATTGTAAGCCAATTTCTACCCCTCTTCATATTAACTTCAAATTATCCTCTAGTATGAGTCCTAGCAGTAAAGAAAAAAGGATGAAGAAGTCTCGAGTACCGTATGCATCGACAGTGGGAAGTTTGATGTTCGCTATGATATGCACAAGACCAGACATTGCACAAGCAGTGGGAGTGGTTAGTCGGTACATGGTGAATCCAGGCAAAGAGCATTGGAATACAATAAAGAGGATCCTGAGATACATCAAAGGGACCTCAAATGTTGCATTATATTATGGAGGATCAAATTTACTTATCAATGGGTATGTTGATTCTGACTATGCAGAGGATTTGGATAAAAGCAAATCTACTACATGATATGTGTTCAAAGTTGCTGGTGGAGCTATAAGCTGGGTTTCAAAATTGCAGTCAGTTGTGGCTACGTCCACAACAGAGGCAGAATATATAACAGCTACACAAGCCAGTAAAGAAGCAATTTGGTTGAAGATACTATTGGAGGAGCTTGGGCACAATCAAGAGTATGTCTCTCTGTTTTGTGACAGTCAAAGCGCCTTGCATTTAGCAAGGAATCCATCATTTCATTCAAGGACAAAGCACATATGAGTCCAGTACCATTTCATTCGTGAAAAAGGTGGAAGAAGGGACGGTAGATATGCAGAAGATCTATACCAAAGATAGTATATCAGATTTCATGATAAAGGCAATCAATGCTGGTAAATTTACTTGGTGTCAATCCTCTTGTAGCCTGTCAGAAACGTAAGCAACATGAAGGTACAAGGTAGAAAGAATGGTGTGAAGATATGATTATTCCAATCAAATCTTCAAGTGGGAGATTGTTGAAAAGTCAGCACAAGTGGCCAAGCCACTTTCGGTGCAAAGGTGCAAATGGGTTTGCTTTCGGTGCATGCACTAAAAATGTTGATTTTTGAACAATGGTAAAATCATAATTTAGTCATTGTACTTTAGGGTATTTATAAGATTATTCCTTAAACTTCAACTATAAATACCCTAACTCATTTAGCTTCAAAATCATCCCAAATCATTCTAGCTTTATCTCAATACTAGAGAATTTAGAGAGTTTTCTTGAGAGTTATTTTCTCCTTTTTATCAAGAGAGAATAATTATTGTTTTCTCCTTGTTAGATTGAGAGAAGTTGTAATTCCTATTTTCTCATAGTGAAATTCTTCTACTGTTGCCTGTGGTTTTTACCCTATATTATTTAGGGGTTTTTCACGTAAAATTTGTGTATTCTTTATCTTCATTTTATTTTAAAAAATTATCAGTTGCGATTTTGCTCTATCCGATAGTCGTATTCTGCAACAGTAACTCATTGCTTCTATAGTATTGTTAAATGCATTTCCTGACAAAATAAAAAAGATGAGTAGGGAAACCTGGATGATGGTTGAATTAGACATTATTAATATAAGCTGAATATACTGTTATTCCAGTGAAACTGATGATCAGTGACAATGGAATGGATGGTGTGTTGAAAATATTAGGTTGTTATTGAATTCAAATGGGGTTGTTATTGAATTTAAATGGGGCTGCAAAATTGATTAGGTTAGGCAGCATGATTTTGATGACTTTGGAAAGGAAAATTATTTTTAGTCCCTAGACTTTAGAGTATTTACAAGATTAGTCCTTAAGCTTAAACTATAAATACTCTAACCCATTAAACTTCAAAATCATCCCAAATCATTTCTTTCTCCCAATACTAGAGAACTTTATTGTGAGTAGTGAGTGTTTTGTAAACACCTGTAAATTTTCTCTCTTTAGTAAAAGATCTACAGCAGTCTGGAGACGTAGGCATAATTGGCTGAACTCCGTTATTAATTTTGGGTATTATTTTTTTGCTTTCATTTCGCATTCTCACTAATATGGTTAAAGGGAAATTACTCGATTATTTTCCAACAACTTGCATCAGAGCTTTTGGTGGTGAATTTTTTCGGTTTTTTCTGCGAGGTTACTATATACATGAATAGTGAATTTCATGAATAGTAAAATTTGGTCGGCGACACGAGTTTGTCAATGATGGTGTTTTAATACACGGTGATTTGCAGAAATTGTCAGAAACAATTCAAACGAAGCCAAATTCGAGTGAGAGCGATGGCTGTAGACGAAGGGAATGTGAAAATTGAAAAGTTCGATAGTGAGGACTTTGGCTTTTGGAAGATGCAGATTGAAGATTTTTTATACCAGAAAAATCTATATCAACATCTCTCAGGAAAGCAACCAGAGGGCATGAAGAACGAAGACTGGGCTCTTCTCGACAGACAAGCCCTCGGAGTTATCCGACTGACGTTATCCCACAATGTTGCTTTCAACATAGCAAAGGAAAAGACCACAGTGAGTCTTATGGCGGCTCTCTCCAGTATGTATGAGAAGCCATTGGCCTCAAACAAAATCCACTTGATGAGGCGATTATTCAATTTGTGGATAGCGGAAGGGACATTAGTGGCTCAACACCTAAATGAACTCAACACAATCACAACCCAGTTGAGTTTCGTGGAAATTGAATTCGATGATGAAATTCAAGATTTAATTCTCTTATCA